ATCTCATTTACTTACTCCTGACCCTACATTAAGACTACAAATATTTTAAGGTAAGTAATGAGTGAACTGTATATACATTTTATCGCTCTGGGATGCTTAAATATCATAGAATAGTATGTGTGGGTGGGGTGGCCTGGTGAGGCTATTACAATACATACCACACTTGATTTCTTACAATAAATACTACTTGTCTCTCACCCTAGATTAAGACTATAAATATTTTAAGGTAAGTAATGAGTGCACTATGTGTGTATTGTACCTTTTTATTGTTTTTTGATGCCTGGTTCTATTGCTAACTTAATATATGTTAGTGTAAACTTGTTATCTAGTGTTTGTATGCATTTATAAGTGGAAAAAAAGGGTGTTCCACTTTACGGCGATTTCCGCTTTACGGCGGTAGCCTGGAACCTAACCCGCCGTATAAGTGGGGCCCTACTGTACTTTTTTTACATACTTTCAAATGTTGAAAAAACGTATATATACGTTTGGACCGTTTATGGGTTAAATACCCATAAAACATATGGATGTAGGGGGGCCTTATGTATTCTCAAGGAAATCGGCAGAAATTGAAGACAGTGGTACCTCAAGTTACGAACTTAATTCATTCCAGAAGGCTGTTTGAGTGCTGATACCGAACGAATTTGCTCCCATGAGGAATATTGTAAATTAGATTAGTCCGTTTCAGACCCCCAAAAATACACTTACAAAAGCACTTACAAAAATACACTTACATAATTGTTCGAGTTGGGAGCTGTTCAAAACTCAAGGTACCACTGTATTTCTGTTACTTTAAGTTACTTCTGGTCCTGAAACCAACCAAAATTATCCCTATTTCAATAGTATGTCTTCCATTCTATCAAATATTACTAAAAAGCAGTCAGTGAAACCTTTAAAACCTTCCTAGAAAACACCTCAAATTCACTATTTTAAACCAAACACAATGTCAGAGTTTTGGAAATATAAACACATTTGCAGTATAATGTAATCCTTTATTGATAACGTTTTGCCCACACATTATACTGCATATGTGTTTATAGTTCCATTGTGTTGGTATTTGATACCATTTATTTCCAATGTCAGAGTTTTGTTTTTCCATCATGTATAATGAGTTTGTTTGGAGTTCTGGTAGCGGGGAGTAAATGATACGTCTTCGGAGGCTTCTTACTTTATTGTTAAGTCATGGTGAGTACACAGGCTTGTGTGTTTGAGCCCATGGCCCGGGCAGGGCCATCCCACGAGAGAGAGCTACTAGGCCTACTGTCTTGACTGCTTGAAGAGTAACACCAGAGTGAGAGCGTGGCAAGGGCAGACAGGTTGGCGTGCCCACCGAGAGGCCTGGCTACAGAGGGCAACACTTGAGTGGCGCGAAATATGAACTAAGCTTGCAGACAGCATGGGCTGTCTGTGCAGACAGTACAGGCTGTCTACATACGTTCGGCCACCTACCGCGCGTCGTCCCGACGCGACAATACTGGTGGTAAAAGGAACTCGGTCTCTCGTAGGAACAGGGCACAGATCACAAAATAAAAACATATACAGTGGACCCCTGCATACCGTCGCCATCACATAACGTACAATCCGCATACCGCTCGCTTTTATCGCAAAAATTTTGTCTCGCATACCGCTCAAAAACCCGCTCACCGCTCTTCGTCCGAGACGCGTCCAATGTGCACCCTTCGCCAGCCTCACATGTGCCGCTGGTGGCATTGTTTACCAGCCAGCCTCCGCGGTAACATCCAAGCATACAATCGGAACATTTCGTATTATTACAGTGTTTTTGGTGATTTTATCTGCCAAATAAGTGACCATGGGCCCCAAGAAAGCTTCTAGTGCCAACCCTACAGCAATAAGGGTGAGAATTACTATAGAGATGAAGAAAGAGATCATTGATAAGTATGAAAGTGGAGTGCGTGTCGCCGACCTGGCCAGGTTGTACAAGAAACCCAAATCAACCATCGCTACTATTGTGGGCAACAGAAAGGCAATCAAGGAAGCTGTTCTTGCCAAAGGTTTAACTGTTTTTTTTCGGAACAGAGATCGCAAGTGATGGAAGATGTTGAGAGACTCTTACTGGTGTGGATAAATGAAAAACAGCTAGCAGGAGATAGCGTCTCTCAAGCGATCATAAGCGAAAAGGCTAGGAAGTTGCATGAGGATTTAATTAAAAAATGCCTGCAACTAGTGATGATGTGAGTGAATTTAAGGCCAGCAAAGGTTGGTTTGAGAGATTTAAGAAGCGTAGTGGCATACATTGTGTGATAAGGCATGGTGAGGCTGCCAGTTCGGACCACAAAGCAGCTGAAAAATATGTGCAGGAATTCAAGGAGTACATAGACAGTGAAGACCTGAAACCTGAACAAGTGTTTAATTGTGATGAAACAGGCCTGTTTGGAAGAAAATACCAAGCAGGACCTACATTACTCAGGAGGAAAAGGCACTCCCAGGACATAAGCCTATGAAAGACAGGCTTACTTTGTTGATGTGTTCCAATGCTACTGGTGATTGCAAAGTGAAGCCTTTATTAGTGTATCACTCTGAAACTCCCAGACCGTTCAGGCAAAAGAATGTCCTCAAGGAGAATTTGTGTGTGCTGTGGGGGCAAACAGTAAGGCATGGGTCACTAGGGACTTTTCTATGACTGGTTACACCATGCATTTGCCCCCAATGTGAAAGATTACCTAACTGAAAAGAAATTAGAACTTAAGTGCCTCCTGGTGTTAGACAATGCCCCTGGTCATCCTACAGACGTGGCAGAGCGACTTTATGGGACATGAAATTCATTAAGGTGAAGTTTTTGCCTCCTAATACCACTCCTCTCCTGCAGCCCATGGACCAGCAGGTTATTGCAAACTTCAAAAACTGTACACAAAAGCTCTGTTTGAAAGGTGCTTTGTAGTGACCTCAGAAACTCAACTGACTCTAAGAGAGTTTTGGAGAGAGCACTTTAATATCCTCAATTGTGTAAACCTTATAGGTAAGGCTTGGGAGGGAGTGACTAAGAAGACCTTGAACTCTGCTTGGAAGAAACTGTGGCCAGAATGTGTAGACAAAAGGGATTTTGAAGGGTTTGAGGCTAACCCTGAGAGGATTATGCCGTTGAGGGAATCCATTGTGGCATTGGGAAAGTCCTTGGGGTTGGAGGTTAGTGGGGATGATGTGGAAGAGTTGGTGGAGGAGGACAATGAAGAACTAACCACTGATGAGCTGATAGATCAACTTCAACAGCAAGAGGCCAGACCTGAGGAAACTGGTTCGGAGGAGGGGAGAGAGAAATTGAAGAAGTTGCCTACTACAAAGATTAAGGAAATCTGTGCAAAGTGGCTTGAAGTGCAAACCTTCATGGATGAAAATCACCCTCACACAGCTATTGCAAGCCGTGTTGGCAACCTGTACACTGACAATGTTGTGAAACACTTTAGGGAAGTCATAAAGGAACGAGAGGTACAGGCCACTATGGACAGATATGTTGTGCGAAAGAAGTCCAGTGACTCTGAAGCTGGTCCTAGTGGCATTAAAAGAAGAAGGGAAGTAACCCCAGAAAAGGACTCGACACCTCAAGTCTTAATGGAAGGGGATTCCCCTTCTAAACACTAACACTCTCTCTCCCCTCCTCCCATCCCATCAGTCATCACCAGATCTTCAATAAAAGTAAGTGTCATGTAATTGTGCATGCCTTTTTCAGTTTGTGTGTATTAAAATTAACATTTCATGTGGTAAATTTTTTTTTTTTTCATACTTTTGGGTGTCTTGTACGGATTAATTTGATTTCCATTATTTCTTATGGGGAAAATTCATTCGCATACCGATCATTTCGCATAACAATGAGCCCTCTTGCACGGATTAAAGTCGCTATGCGGGGGTCCACTGTATATACATATGGACATGGAAAAAAAAACTTCCTACAGGGAGGGAAGAAAAAAACATGTGGAGAAACTCACACTGGACGCAGAAATCACCACAAAACTCACCTCTGGCTTGCTGAAACAGCTGTGCTGAGCTGAACAACAACAGCAACATACAAGTGACGCTGAACACATGACTTGAGAAACAGCGTGGGACGCTGTAGCGTGGAGTCACTTACAATTCTCGAAGAATTTCGGCAAATTTCAGCTGGATCCTGCTTGTACCTGTGTCTGGATGCTCAAACGTGCAGACACGACATCAGGATAACTCGTTGAGAGACGGATGCTTGTTGTGTAGGGGGATGAAGTGAACAACTTCATTCCTTCCTTCCTCTCTCTGGGCAAACAACTGCTGCGACATCTGCTTCCCACCATTTATAACCCAGTTTGTTTGGTGTACTGAAAGCGGGTGGTCAATGATAGACGTCTTCGGAGGCTTCTTACTTTATTGTTAAGTCGTGGTGGGTACACAGGCTTGTGTGTTTGAGCCCATGGCCCGGGCAGGGCCATCCCACGAGAGAGAGCTACTAGGCCTACTGTCTTGACTGCTTGAAGAGTGACGCCAGAATGAGAGCGTGGCAAGGGCAGACAGGCTGGTGTGCCCACCGAGAGGCCTGGCTACAGAGGGCAACACTTGAGTGGCGCGAAATATGAACTGAGCTTGCAGACAGCATGGGCTGTCTGTGCAGACAGTACAGGCTGTCTACACGTGCACCATGTGGGCAATTTTTTTTTTACTGTGCACATTCACTGCACAGACCCAGTCTCTCATATCTAGGCCAAAATTTACCATAGCTTATCTGAGGGAGCCGCACTCATAATTTAGATCTGCGTGAGGGACTCTGGCATCGATAATGTAGATATACGTGACGGCTGTTGAAAGGGTTAACTAGAATGTACGATGGGATGTGAAATACAGGCTTAGTGATTGGAGTGCCTCTGCCGACAATGCTTCAACAGAGAATTGTGAAAATGGAATCGTTGGCAAAACATGTGCTGTAATTGTTTCAACATAGCACTGACATTACACTTCAGACGGCCCAGTGAACTACAACATCATTTATGCTAAATATAATTCTGTCTTGATTTCTTACACAGAGGAACAGCAGTGATGTGGCACTGCTACTCAAGACCACTAGCTGCCCAACACAACGACCATCATCAACAACAAGCAACCCACCACAAGAACCATGTCAACTATCAGCTACAAGCAACCCACCACAAGAACCATGCCAACTACCAGCTACAAGCAACTCACTACAAGATTCATCACTACCACTATCAACAACAAGGCATGAAACACAAGAACCACCACCACAATCAGTCACAATCAACCCACCAGATGCAGCCACACTCAAACAATCAGGTAAACACCATTTTTATCTTTAAAAACACAAGAACAATAAGGTTCTGTCAGTCTGTATTCTTTAAATCAAGACAATTTAAAAAATAACATTAGCAATTTCCTACAAAGCCAAGGTAATCCAAACAAAAAATGAAAACACATTAACCATCACTTGCACCCTAGCTGTCTCTCCAAATATGTACAGATATCAGTTTGCATGAAACACAGTGGCATATTAGTGGCTTTTGTTATTTTTTATTTTTTATTAACACATCGGCCGATTCCCACCAAGGCAAGGTGGCCCGAAAAAGAAAAATTTCATCATTATTCACTCCATCGCTGTCTTGCCAGAGGGGTACTTTACACTACAGTTATAAAACTGCAACATTAACACCCCGTCTTCAGAGTGTAGACACTGTACTTCCCATCTCCAGGACTCAAGTCCGGCCTGCCGGTTTCCCTGAATCCCTTCATAAATACAGTGGACCCCCGCTTAACGATCACCTCCCAATGTGACCAATTATGTAAGTGTATTTATGTAAGTGCATTTGTACGTTTATGTTTGGGGGTCTGAAGTGGACTAATCTACTTCACAATATTCCTTATGGGAACAAATTCGGTCAGTACTGGCACCTGAACATACTTCTGGAATGAAAAAATATCGTTAACCGGGGGTCCACTGTATTACTTTGCTCACACTCCAACAGCACGTCAAGTATTAAAAACCATTTGTCTCCATTCACTCCTATCAAATACGCTCATGCGCGCTTGCTGGAAGTCCAAGCCCCTCGCACACAAAACCTCCTTTACCCCCTCCCTCCAACCCTTCTTAGGCCGACCCCTACCCCGCCTTCCCTCCACTACAGATTTATACACTCTCGAATTCATTCTGTTTTGTACCATTCTCTCTACATGTCCGAACCACCTCAACAACCCCTCCCTCAGCCCTCTGGGTAATAGTTTTAGAAATCTCACACCTTCTCCTAATTTCAAAACTACGAATTCTCTGCATTATATTCACACCGCACATTGAAGTCAGACATGACATCTCCACTGCCTCCAGCCTTCTCGTTGCAACATTCATCACCCATGCTTCACACCCGTACAAGAGTGTTTGTACAACTATACTCTCATACATTCCCCTCTTTGCTTGCATGGACAAAGTTCTTTGTCTCCACAGACTCCTAAGTGCTTTACTCACCCTTTTCCCCTCATCAATTCTATGATTCACCTCATCCTTCATAGACCCATCTGCTGACACGTCCACTCCTAAATATCTGAATACATTCACCTCCTTCATACTTTCTCTCCCTCCAATCTGATATCCAGTCTTTCGTCACCTAATCTTTTTGTAATCCTCATCACCTTACTCTTTCCTATATTCACTTTTAATTTTCTTCTCTTACATATCCTACCAAACTCATCCACCAACCTTTGCAACTTGTCTTCAGAATCTGCCAAAAGCACCATGTCATCAGCAAAGAGCAGCTGTGACAACTCCCACTTTGTGTTCGATTCTTTTGTGACTAATAATATTACATGTAAACTATATTATCTTTGTACAACATAAAAGAATAACAACACTGCACTAGCCAAGGACTCGAACCCATGCTGCTTTGGCCTGCCTCATGGTGGGCGAAAACGCATGACGCCCTAATCCACTGGACCATATGATCCTTACAAGTAGAGCATCCAGCAGAACTGGATGTTGTACTCCCTACCCAAGGACACACGATGGTGTGGATGACTCGAGGCTAATTTCATTCTAGTCCCTGTTTGGTGTACTAGTTCAACGAGCAGTATTTTATATTATTGTGACTACGAACGAGTGATATTGATCAATAACAACACTGCACTAGCCAAGGACTCGAACCCATGCTGCTTTGGCTTGTAAGGATCGTATGGTCCAGTGGATTAGGGCGTCATGCGTTTTCGCCCACCATGAGGCAGGCCAAAGCAGCATGGGTTCGAGTCCTTGGCTAGTGCAGTGTTGTTATTGATCATTATCACTCTTTTGTGGTCACAATAATATAAAAGAAATAAAAATGTGAATGGAAATATGTAAAGTAAAAGGACACAAGTGCAACTAATGTGACATTTATTGTGGCAACATTTCACTCTCCAGGAGCTTTATCAAGCAAGTGGCTTGATAAAGCTCCTGGAGAGTGAAACGTTGCCACAATAAATGTCACATTAGTTGCACTTGTGTCCTTTTACTTTACATATTGTCGGTAATTCTACCAACATTATATGAATGGAAATATTAGCTTCCAAATTCTTCATTTTGAATGAACACATTTTGAATGAACACATTTTGAATGAACACATTTTGAATGAACACATTTTGAATGAAGTCCTGTGTCTAATTATGAATTTATAAATCATACACCAAGACAAAATGAGCACCACAAATAATTTAGAGCACTTTCTAGGAGACCCACCATTAAAACTGTCATAATTTAAAGATGGGACTTCAAATTCAAATTCAAAGTTTATTCTCTATAAAGATTACAATGTTGAATTTACAGAATTTGGTTGTTGTGTGGTTTACATGTAGTTAAATAATGATTACAGAGTGTACCACTAGAACGCCTAGCATGGCTAGGCATTACAGAGTGTACCACTGGAACACCTAGCATGGCTAGGCATTACAGAGTGTACCACTAGAACACCTAGCATGGCTAGGCATTACAGAGTGTACCACTAGAACGCCTAGCATGGCTAGGCATTACAGAGTGTACCACTAGAACACCTAGCATGGGTAGGCATTACAGAGTGTACCACTAGAATGCCTAGCATGGCTAGGCATTACAGAGTGTACCACTAGAATGCCTAGCATGGCTAGGCATTACAGAGTGTACCACTAGAATGCCTAGCATGGCTAGGCATTACAGAGTGTACCACTAGAATGCCTAGCATGGCTAGGCATTACAGAGTGTACCACTAGAACACCTAGCATGGGTAGGCATTACAGAGTGTACCACTAGAATGCCTAGCATGGCTAGGCATTACAGAGTGTACCACTAGAATGCCTAGCATGGCTAGCATTACAGAGTGTACCACTAGAACGCCTAGCATGGCTAGGCATTACAGAGTGTACCACTAGAATGCCTAGCATGGCTAGGCATTACAGAGTGTACCACTAGAACACCTAGCATGGCTAGGTATTACAGAGTGTACCACTAGAACACCTAGCATGGGGAGCATTACAGATGTACCACTAGAACGCTAGCATGGCTGGGCATTCGGGCAGACTTAGTTTAATTCTTTATTTTAAAAATTACAAATTATGAGGTAAGTTGGTATTATGGCTAAGTGACTAAATACTAGTTTGTGAGTTTAGCAATGTGAATGCTTTTGTTTTGGCACAGTACATAGTTTCAGTATTGGAGTATCACAGGATTTATTATTTTAAAATTGAGATTAATATTTCTGTTTATGGTCAAATGGGTGAGTGAGTGTAAGTGTGAACCACCAGGTGGTATTCGTGTAGTTAGTTGATGGGGTTTATCAGGGAGATGGGATTGAAAGTTGACCAACAGTTACCAACCTTATTTGTGTCCGGCACCTCCTACTAATGTTGCACCTCCTACTAATGTTGACACCTCCTACTAATGTTGCACCTCCTACTAATGTTACACCTCCTACTAATGTTGCACCTCCTACTAATGTTACATCTCCTACTAATGTTACATCTCCTACTAATGTTACATCTCCTACTAATGTTACATCTCCTACTAATGTTACATCTCCTACTAATGTTGCTACCTCCTACTAATGTTACATCTCCTACTAATGTTACATCTCCTACTAATGTTGCACCTCCTACTAATGTTACATCTCCTACTAATGTTGCACCTCCTACTAATGTTACATCTCCTACTAATGTTACATCTCCTACTAATGTTACACCTCCTACTAATGTTACATCTCCTACTAATGTTACATCTCCTACTAATGTTACATCTCCTACTAATGTTACATCTCCTACTAATGTTGCACCTCCTACTAATGTTACATCTCCTACTAATGTTGCACCTCCTACTAATGTTACATCTCCTACTAATGTTACATCTCCTACTAATGTTACATCTCCTACTAATGTTACATCTCCTACTAATGTTACATCTCCTACTAATGTTACATCTCCTACTAATGTTACATCTCCTACTAATGTTACATCTCCTACTAATGTTACATCTCCTACTAATGTTGCATCTCCTACTAATGTTACATCTCCTACTAATGTTACATCTCCTACTAATGTTACATCTCCTACTAATGTTACAATCTCCTACTAATGTTAGCACTCCTACTAATGTTACATCTCCTACTAATGTTGCACCTCCTACTAATGTTACACCCCTACTAATGTTCTCTCCTACTAATGTTACATCTCCTACTAATGTTACATCTCCTACTAATGTTACATCTCCTACTAAATGTTACATCCTACTAATGTTACATCTCCTACTAATGTTCAACTCCTACTAATGTTACATCTCCTACTAATGTTACATCTCCTACTAATGTTACATCTCCTACTAATGTTGCACCTCCTACTAATGTTACATCTCCTACTAATGTTACATCTCCTACTAATGTTACATCTCCTACTAATGTTACATCTCCTACTAATGTTACATCTCCTACTAATGTTACATCTCCTACTAATGTTACATCTCCTACTAATGTTACATCTACTAATGTTACATCTCCTACTAATGTTGCACCTCCTACTAATGTTACATCTCCTACTAATGTTACACCTCCTACTAATGTTACATCTCCTACTAATGTTACATCTACTAATGTTACATCTCCTACTAATGTTACATCTCCTACTAATGTTACATCTCCTACTAATGTTACATCTCCTACTAATGTTACATCTCCTACTAATGTTACATCTCCTACTAATGTTACATCTCCTACTAATGTTACATCTCCTACTAATGTTACATCTCCTACTAATGTTACATCTCCTACTAATGTTACATCTCTACTAATGTTACATCTCC